CTCTGCAGGCGTCTTGATGTCGTCTGGGCTCTTCATGATAGCTGCTGCTATGCCTGATTAACAGTAACACATACAGTCACTGTTAAAGTTATCAGTGCTGAAAGGTGCTTGTGCTCTCATTGGTTTGATAATCTTTACCTTGGTTCAGTGCTTCTTGAACCTTCAGCCCTGGTTCAGCAGACAGGTAGAGGTGGGTACTGTGTCCCTCTAGCTCACTAATAAGATCGTCTTCACTCACAGGCAGAGGAGTAATGAGTTCTTTCAGCCCTGCAAACAAGAATCACTGGACAATCAGATTCCCCAAAATGTTCTGATGGAGCTGGTAGCGCTCTACTAATTAAATTACACATTCATTATTATAAGGGTACATTACACATACATGTGATTTTACAGTACTGTTGATTAAATATATGCACCAACTGGTTGACCTTAGGAATGACATGTCTAAACATGATTGTCTAAATGCGTATGTTTCCTTATGCTGTGGTTACTGCAACAGGTGTTCCTTGTAAAATTCCTGCAAAGAATCCTGACCTTACACGTAAAACCGGTTCACATTAAAGACGTAGTTATATTTGGCTCATGCTCAACCGTTGATATGTTCACCTCTTTACCAAACAGGAAACTCCTAAATCCTTGGATGAATGTGCCTGCAGCATTGTTTGGGTGTATCAGTGACTCACCATGTTTTCTGATGGCCCCGCTGAGTGAGTCTGATGAGTTGTCACTGATGAGGATGACCTTAAAGAGCTCCTCACTCTCAGGGTAAAGCTCTTTAAGTTTAGCATTCACTTTCTCCAGAGCCTGAGATCACAACAGGATTCATGAAATTAAAAGACAGTCGACTAAATGCTAAATAACAAAACAGAACGTGTGTGTGAGTGAGCAGATAGCTGTGTTGGTGTTTTGTCTGTATTGTACAGTATATTCTCATCCTCCGACTGGAAACAATCAATAACACTTCATCACTACTTGCAGTGTTCCGACATTAAAACTGTTAAGTTTGTAAAAATCTAAAAACAAATATCCACCACTTGATTCACATTGATTTTGTAAAGGGTGCAATTATATCTCAAAATGACTGAGAATCAAGTTCTTTTTCTCTACTAATATAAATTTATACTAAACTTGTAATTGGATAGTTTCCTGGAAATAAGCCAAACATTTTAACTGGCCTTCTTTGAAAGTGTTATCCCAGTAATTTGTAGCTTTTTTCACTTTTTGATTAATGTAATTAATTCTGACTTAACAAGAGTTNACTCCTGAGCAGCATTAAGTAGAACATAACTGACAACATATTTGCTGTTCAAAGTACCAAATGATCCCGGACACACCTATCTGACAAAGATAGTACTTCATTTTGGCATATTTAGGCTTTAAAATGTTTCGACGGAGGATCAACAGTTTGTGGAAGGCCGACTACATCCTGGAAAATCTGCTGGTAGCCACATCATGCAGGATATCTTTTTAAATGACTCACTTACATTACAGGTTATTTTTACCAACAAGCCTTCTCAAAATGGCGTCTGTTGTCGTTTGATCTGCTGATTCAAGTCATCAAACACCTTCTTCCTGCATTCACATGGTAATTATACAGAAACTTTATTGCCATGAGTAAATACATTTCATAATGGATATAAAGGAACAGAATGTTTGCTATGTGTGGGTGTTTGGGAGTGGCTGTTTACTGCAGTTTGTATTAATAGTAAATAATACTAATGCATGTTGTGCTCAAGTGTACTGATTCCCCTGAAATGATGAATAATATCTTCTTTTTTTTTTAAAATAGCTTGTAAGATTTGACACTTTGGACAAATTAAGAAGTCATGAGGTCTTGCAGCCCCTACAAACAAGAATGAACATCAGTAGACAATCAGATTCCCCACAATGTTCTGATCGTGCTCTACTAATTAAATTACTCATACATTCATACAGTTGAAACCAGAAGTTTACATGCACTATATAAAAAGACACATAACTTCTTTTCTCACTATCTGACATTAAATCAGACTAAACTTTTCCTGTTTTAGGTCAGTTAGGATTACCAACATTATTTCTATTTGCTAAATGCCAGAATAATGAGAGAGAGAATTTTTTAGAGAATTTTTTAAAATAACTTTCTTCAAAGTCAGAAGTTTACATATATTTCCTTAGCATTTGGTAGTGTTGCCTTTAAACTGTATGACTTGGGTCAAACATTTTGGGTTTCCTTCCACAAGCTTCTCACAATAGTTTGATGCATTCTGGTCCATTCCCCCTGACAGAACTGGTGGAACTGAGTCAGGTTTGAAGGCCATCTTGCTCCACACACCTTTTCAGCTCTGCCTTCAAATTTTCTCCAGGATTGAGATCAGGGCTTTGCCACTCTAAAACACTGACTTTGTTGTCCTGAAGCCTCTTTGTAACTAATCTGGCGGTATTTTTAGGGTCATTGTCCATTTGAAGACCCATTAGCACCCAAGCTTTAACTTCCTGACTGAAGTCTTGAGATGTTGCTTCAATATTTCTACATAATGTTCGTTCCTCATGATGCCATCTATTTTGTGAAGTGCACCAGTCCCTCCTGCAGCAAAACAGCCCCACCACATGATGCTGCCACCCCCGTACTTCACAGTTGGGATGGTGTTCTCAGGCTTGTAAGCTTTTATACTCCAAATGCAGCACTTTGGATCAACTGAAAGACTTGAGACTCTGTTAATATTTAATACCTTGGATGGAACTCCTGAGCAGCATTAAGTAGAACATAATTGACATCATATTTGCTGTTCAAAGTACCAAATGATCCAGGACACACCTATCTGACAAGCATCGTACTTCATTTTGGCATATTTAGGCTTTAAAATGTTTCAACAGAGGATTAACAGTTTGTGGAAGGCCGACTACATCCTGGAAAATCTGCTGGTAGCCACATCATGCAGGATATCTTTTTAAATGACTCACTTACATTTCAGGTTATTTTTTGCCTTCTCAAAATGGCGTCTGTTGTCGTTTGATCTGCTGATTCAAGTCATCAAACACCTTCTTCCTGCTTTCATTTTTCTGCTTTTTTTTCTCTTTACTCGCTTTTCCCCAACAGATGATTCAGAAAGATGCATTTTATGGACGCCGCAGCAATATATACATGAAAACAGTTACTACTGCAATAACAACAACAACAACACTCAAACAGGTTTATTGTATTTGTTTATTTATTACTTCTTTCAGAAATTATAGGAGCATGTCGTTCACATCTCTCTGTCAGCTACAATATAATCAGCTGTTGATTCTCTCTTGGTTACTCTGAGCTGATGGGCACATGACATGCCACGGTGCCAACCTTCAATGCAGCTTCAACGTGACTCTGCTGGTCATCAAAGAAGATGTGGGGCCTGATCTTCTCCAGGGTGGGACCTTTCTTACTCCCTCCCAAAAAGACAGCCTCATCCACCCTCAGACCCCACATGCGTAGAGTGTTAAAGGCCCTGTACCCGCCACAGCCTCCATCACGGGATGTCACCAGGTAGGTGCGAATGGGACATTTTTTGTACGGGTCGTTCGGATCCTTCAACTTCTTCTTCAGTCTTTCCAAAACTTCCAAGAAGGTTTTGAACAGCCCCTAATAGTATATAGTTGAGAGAGTGTTTTGGCCTTTTTCAATAGTTAAGAGGTAATAACATGAAAGGTTAATTGATGACTGAATTTGTTACCTGATTCATTGGATCTTTAACCTTTTCCTCCTCATGCTCCAAGAATGCTTGTAGTCCACGTTTGAAAACTCGCTCCGACTCATTGGAGAAGAGGACGGCATCGCCGTCGAAGGCAACACGCAGCTGAT